TAGCACATGGCTAGGTGGAACTAGATGTTAGATTGTCGCCATGCGAGAGGACCATCTCGTAGCTTGGCGAGTTTTTGTACAGAGCTATCAAGGAAGAACCTGAGGTTACCCGTGGGCTTACTTTCTGGGCACTGTAAAATAATCAAGAACATGCAAGGGTTTGGTGGAATCACCATCTTGTATGAGATGTTACACAGACGACGAGACGACACACCACATATTTTATGAACAAAAGCAATTACCTACAGGTTACCTGCACGTTTGGCATTTCCGGTATTTGAGATAAACCTTTGCGTAGCGATTATTCTATGTTAGATACAATGTATTAGATCAATTCGTGAGGTGAGTGTTTGCATCTCACCCCAAACACGGTTCTTCTTTACTACAATGACCCCAATGCTCGTAACGTACCAAGAAAAGTACATCCAGAAACTACAATGCCAAAATCAAACCCAATTCTAATTGAATCAGACTTACGTACCCTATTAATAAATGGGTTTCGGATTGCGATATAGGTAAAACAAAGATAGGTAATTACTTTGAAACATATGACATAATCTAAAAGGAAACGTGTTAACAAAGAGGAATTCTATGAAAATAACTTGAGCTACAGCCACTCCCCATTCGCGTAGAGACGCTTCGATAATTAATTTAAAGAATTTTAGCGTAATGACTGATGAGTCTGGAATTTTCGCAAAAATTATAACTTGTCATATCAACGACAACGCAAATGTGATTTTTTTCTCAATACCAATGGTACCAACTACTCCTAACACACGCTAAGAACGCATTCAGTCAGTTACACAAATAAAGAGTACATTCAAGGGAACGTTATGTTTTCGACAAAAACTCGATTCACATTTCATAAAAAAATCGACGTGTCGGAGCATATTTCTGAAAAAAATATATATACAGGGTGCCAATTTTAGTCTATTCTTTACGACAGACATGCCAAAGTCGGATGCGTTGCGCACATGCGCAGAACTAATTTCCTTATTGATGGTTCGATCTTTCAGAGATGTGAGGAGGGAATAATTTCAATTGTGAATATACAGAAAACGGAGGATGATACATGTCGACGAAACGAATCCGTCACTGAACTTCAAATGCGATAAACTCAAAAAAGGGAGTGTCGGATGAGGTACTCACAAAGGAAAAATAATACTATTGACGAAACGCATATTCTTAGACATAAAAGGGCGGAATCGCGCATGCGCAGGTGTTCAGATGGTATCTGTGCTATACACAGCAAATTTTTGCTTAAAGTTAAGCGAACTTAAAATCTATGGCAACGATTAAGACAATCGTTGCTATGGTATTTAAGTTATGCTTAACTTTAAGGGATACTTAATTTTTACGGTGCAATTGGTCCTTAGGGTCCTTAAACCATTACTGGCACTATAAAAATTGACAATATCAACTTTTTCTTCGTTGAATACATCGCACACGAACGAAAAAAAAAAATACGGAAGCCAAGGGAATAATATTCCAATTAATTAATATGACAGCAAAGTCTTCAATTGTTTTCAGATGCTATTTTGGTTGCATGAAATTAGGCATCCTTCATAAGGATTTTTGTCATTTAAATCTAGACATAGAAAATCCCTATGTCTACTTCTAAACGAATATCACTGTATATCTAATAAAGATAAATAGTGGGTTAATCTAAAAAAAATTGTTTTACTAATTTTTGTGTTCAGGTTGTCTCGTTAATTTGAGCACAGCATCCCGAGATCGATGGTGAAGGAAAACCGATGAAACAATCGATTTCGATGTTTCGTTCGATTTGTACAAGCTTAGGTTATAATGTAAGTTTATTTGGTACCTGCAGTTTGTAAGTATCTTGTTGAGCTTATTTTGTAGTTTCAATTTTTTTCTCATCATTATTAATGGTGCTCTGCTTGCTGAAGTCCTTGGCGTCACCACTTCTTTTTGTCAGTAGTTCTTCTCTACATCATTGTATACTCTTTTCTTCTCTAGAACTCGCTGATCATTGTGATTCTTCTTTTTCTTCGCTTGGGATTCCCTTCCATACCTCCTTCCAACACCTACCTCAACAAATACTTGCCCAATCCAAGTACGTACTTGCCATGGTGTCCAACAACTTTTTTTTCTCGACAGAACATCTTCATTCCTAACTCTATCTGCCCATTTGACCTTTAAAACTCTTCTCCATAACCACATTTGTAGACTTTCTATTCTTTTCTTCTCCCTTTCACCTAATATCCGCACGTTTCAGAGCTATATAGAAAGACACCACACAAAACACTTCACTGGCCTTCTCTTTAACTCTAGCTCCGTTTTACTAGCAAGTAGGTATGCTATTTTTCTATCTAAACTCCTCTTTAGCTATCCCTATTCTTGCTTTTATTTCAATATACTTGTATCTGTTAATTCACCTGTTCTAAATCCTCACCTCCCCCATATTTAATTGTTTGCAAAAATTACAGTCAACGGCTAAGTTAATGAAAAATAGTGATTAAAATAAGCTTAGCAAAATTGCAACTTTTCTAGTCTCACTATGATCCGCCATTTATAATTTGGTTATTTACCCTGGAAGTTTCGGGGCGGAAAGGCAGTAAAGCTCACACAATTTAAGGTGGACTAGGTGCGATATATCCATTTCAGTCATCACAAAGAGTGGGTAAAAGGCACGGCTCACAAAGTCAGAAAGGAATTGCCCTTAGTGTACGACAACCACAATAAATAAACTGCCAACATAAAAGCCCCATTTCTAAATCCAGTAGATGTAATTACGAGTACGTACAAAGTATATGTACATTAAAACCTTTACTCTGGAATTATATATGAATTTTAATGTAGTAAGGTTTGTCGGGTTGCGGTGCTTCTGTATGTTCATATTGAATTTCAGTTTGCGGTAATTAGTGTTCCAGTGTGTAAAGCTTTGTCTTTTACTTGTGATAGGGATTTTTAAATAGCCGATGGAGAAAAACAATAACTTCATCGTCCCTTAAATAAATATTAATTCCATTAAAACGTACGGGATCTTAATTGTATTTGTAGATGAGTGGGTTATATTTCTCATCTAAAACTCCTATTTCTTAAAGTTGCGCGCGATATTTGTCAAAATATTTGCCATTAATCAAGATAATCTAGCCGCGTTCAGTCAGTCTGGTGTAAGAAAACAAATAAAGTTAGAACTTGTTTTTGCTACGTACCTACTTATAATGATTAAAACATCACACGTCCGGGGATAATTAAATATGGCGAGTTCCAGGACGAAGATCTCTTTACATTCGCGACAAAGTGAGCTTGTGTAAATTTTCGAATGTAAAGAAGATTTAAAAATAAGCTCGTCGGAGATTTTCCCAATTAAGAAGTTTCGGACGCTTTTAAGCTCGATTTTTTGCTTCAGCAATTCTTAATACGATTGTTGCCTTAGGTATAGGTTATTAGAGACGAAAATTTTTAAAAGGTCGATGGTTTTTAGTAGTTAGTGTACGTGTACCCGCCCTCGACGCGATTAAATAAGTTCCCTGCAGATGATAAGATGTTGGTATAACCTCAAAATGCGCAACGAGCCAGCGAAGAATCTTTTTTATAACATAATTTAATAATTTCCCCTCGACTCCGCGAAACGGCAGCCACGGATCTACACCGGAGGGTTATACAAATTCTATCTCGCTTCTCCGAATTAAATGCGACACTAAAAAGAGAGACGGAACGGAAAGATTTATGCTGGCGAAGTACATTATCTTGTAGTCTCAGTCGGCTAATTACAGCCTATGATACCACATTAGCCCCGGGGCGGCGCGGGATGATAACCGGTCCGGATTGGAGATGTATCGCCGACGGCAAGGCTGAGTGGTTTGCATCCGATCTGAAGACGAAGAACCGCTTTCATGCGGTACAACAACTTTCGCGTTTCTCAAGTTACAGTACTACCCCGAAAACCTTACGAAAGTAAATCCGACCCTTACACTACACTGTGGAGAAATTCCGGAAAAATCATCGATTTTGCTGCAACAATAAAACTTAATTTATCTGGTAAATAATTTTGGGGGTATAGCATTAAAGGGCGCAGGATTCTCTAAAATCTCTAGCTGTTAATCCAAATTAGGGGTCATTTCCATGTATTCTCGAGACATTTCAGTGATGTAAGGGGAATGTCTTGTGTTATTTGTGGTCATCTAGCTGTTAAAATTCTTAGCTGGAATAGTTGCGTTGTTCAACAGATTACTGCGGCGGTGTTGGGAAATTGGGTGGAAATATTTAGTAAATACTTTCGCTTCTCAAAAATGTAGTACATTTTTATCGAGTTAAGGCTTAAATTTAACCGTTTAATCCCGTATTTTTTCCCGAAGCCTCGCTTCATACCTGCCGGCAGCAAGAGGCCACTTTAAATGACAAACGCGAATGGCTTTTTAAAATTCCTCCCCTTTGTATACATACACATTCAGCGAGGAGGTTATTAGCGAAACGAAGATGAGAGAATAAAAAAAGAGTGGATTGGGGTGTAAAACAAAAGGAGATCAAGGCAAGCGCCATCCAGTCGGCGTTGATTGCTGCATTATGAAGACACGCAGGAAGGGGGCAATGAGTGCGCTCTAACACCTACTAAAAGAACCTGTTTAAAAAGGCAAGGGGATGCCGACGATTTTAAGAACAACTGAACTAAGAGGGTGTTTGTTGTTAACGAGATTCACTCTGATCACTGCCTGCTTCTTTTATAAACTTGCTTGTTTTTTTACAAAACGGATTTAGGTACTCCATTTCCCTGAGCTGTCTTTAATGACAACAGTGTCGCACGTGCCACTCTTTTTCGAATCGCGATCAATTATAACTTCGCGAACTCTTAAGCGCCATGTTTACTCGGCGCAGATCTATGGAAAGTAACGCAATAATGCAGTACAATTTAGATCCGTGCGCTTTGAGCATTCTTGGTCAGTTAAAAGGACAAAGCAGATTACTAAGGCTGAGAAGGAGCCAGGATCGTGTCACTCGAGACCAAACAGTTGGGAGTAGGTGTCGGCACTAGATCAAAGGCGAAATAAGGGGTTCGAGGGGCGGACAGGGGTATCATTAGCTGCCCGCTGGTCGGTGCTAAGCGTTTGCCGTTTATCACCAACCACCTTGACTCGTAATTTGTCATCGCCTCGCTCTTTCTGCAAACATCATGTATATCGCAATGTTTACATGTAACACTTTCCACGTATAGCCACCCGTACGAAATTTGCTTCGACTGGAAAACTACGATGCCCGCAGAGCGCACAGAAGAGAGAAACGGAGCGGCGACACATTGAAGATTAAGCGAACCTGCAGAATAAACAAATGTGATATTACATTACCCTACTCAAATGTGTATTAGATTTGGGGCGCGTGCCGAAAAAAACTCGATCTCGTTACGGATTTATAAGTTTAACTTCGTTGTATTTTCGTTTGTCGGCCCCTTCCTTCGGATTTTATATATTCGGGACGATATTTTCCAAAAGAAAATTTCATATTTCCTTTTAATGTAAATCACGTCATTTTTCGTAGGCCCAACTTCTCATAAAATTACATTAATAACTGAACTTCTGAATCTAAAATGGTGAAACATATCTTTAAAGTTTTTCATAACAAATGGCAAAGGCCTCAAAATAAATGAGCTTTGGGTAACTTAAGGAAATAAGCACATCCTGGCCGCAATTTTAGCTCCGCACTTTCTCGCCTTCCTTAGATTGCAACGCGCGGGATGACCTAACGCCGGCTATAATTTCATTAACCGTTAGATAAATGAGAGAGCGTCGTAAGTGGCGCAAGATGGCCACGCAACAGCCGGCAGACTTGACCAACAGCACTTTACACAATCACACGAATATAATAAGAGGAAACAAGAAATTGCCAAGAGTGTGTACGAGATGAGTTTCTAAGAAAACTTTGTATGAAACCACCAGGTCGTTTATTAAATAATACCCGAAATGCGACGGTACACATCTTGAAGGTTTATTTTTACTCGACGCCAGCTACAACGATTGCAATCTACTTTTTACTTTAAGGTCCAATTGGAATGCCAACACGCCCAACAAAACATCTAAAAATTACTGTTAAATCGCATTTCGATCACATACAGATCAATAAAGGGTGGATAATTTTCCATATTTAAACACCTTGCCGAAACTGGTTGAAATCATCAAAAAAATTGTGGTCGGCGAATTGACGGTCCAAATAGATGACCAACAGAAGCATAGAAGGACCGTACGAGTTAGTATTTTTCATGTACAGATTTAACGGTAAATCTACACGTGCTGTATGGTTTTCAAAGCATAATACAATAACTGTTTTATTTCCTAGATTTTTGTAATCTGCCAGGGTCAAGTAGATAACGACAGTGGCGGCTCGTAAACTGCGTTGAAGGTAGTGCCAAATTCTTCGCCCCTCCCCATTATTTTACTAGCTACAAATTTTTGTTTCCATATTATTCCAGTTGTTTAGATTTAGAGAATAATTCTAATATTTATCTACAACATTCCAAAATCTGTCTACTGGCTGATGAGTACTCAGTATACGCTGTCGATTACATAATATTACTTGATACGCATGAATGGGAGGGATTTATAATCACTGAGTAAGTTCAAAGTGCAAAGTACATGGTTTTTAACTTTCCAAAGTGATTATTTGAGGGATAAATCTCGCATCCATTTTCCGGGTCAAACGACCGACCGAACTTCTCACTTTGACATTCATGGACAGAAAGGTTCCAGGGTTAAAGACTGATCGAACAAGGTCTAAGGTCTTTCATGACACATCCAAACATTCAAGACACGAAATGGCTTATAAGGCGCTTAAAAACAATGGAAAGCGCTATTGGGTCGGGGACCTGGAAGAGACCATTATTCCCAAACTCAATAACCTTCTAAGTCGTCTCTTCAGATCAATAGCGCTCCTCCAGAGCGTTTTATGACTTTCATGGAGCTTTTCGGGCCAATTTCAGATCCCTGAACTTTGTCGATTTTTTACAGAACTTTCAACAATCCCTTCAGAGTTTTTCAGAGGTTACGCGGTCATTCTAGAGCTGGTCCTTCCTTCTCGTGAAAGATTTCTGTTTTCTTAGAGTTCTTCTCGAGAATCCAATGCTATTTTCATATCTTTCAGGTATTTTTTGGAGTTAGGGCTCTTGCAAACCTTCCTTTTAGAGCGTTCGAAGCTTTTTAAGATCCAGCCAAGATCTTTTCTTAAGAATCTAAGATCCTTTCCTAAGCTTTAGAGAACTCGTATCGCTATTCCAAAGTATTTTCCCTCTCAGCGTCGTTTTCAAAACTGGATCCTTTACAGAGAATTCCAAGCCCTTTACATAGCTTTAAAACCCATATCTAAGATAACTACACCGCCTTTTTGGAGCTCGTTAGGCTTGTCTACTCCTGGCCTGGCATAGGAAGATCTAGAAGGAGTCTGAGGAGTAACAAGAGGTCTTTTCACGGACCTTACAGTGCCTATCTAGACTCCCCAGCGTATTTTGGGCATGTAAGTGCTTTATAGGATCCTTCATTGCTTTATAGACGAGTGTATCATGGAAAGTGGCCAGAGGGCTTTCGAAAGGTGTAGAACGGATCTAAGACTCAAAATGACTAAAGAGGTCTTGGAAAGCGGCAGATGGCTCTGAAAAGTGTTTTAAATACACTTCCAAAACACAAAAAACAAGATAAACGCTAGACCAGCCCTTATACTCAAACCCAGCTCCGCATTACCGTTAACTGCGGCTAACTTTCTCTCCAAGCTTCGTTATGAAAATCCCCTGGTCTTTGGCATCTGCGCAGAACGGTCGAACACGTAGCACGACTTGTTTATACCGAGCGTATCGCATTTTTGTGTCAGATGTAATCGTGCGTTGCCTAACCGTAGAGGTAGGTTACCACAAACTGTTGGTATTCCTGTAACTTTGAGAATATGTGTAAGCCTTGGAGTCATTGGACTCATGTAATCTTTTGAGTTTTTCTATTTTTACCTTTGGAATGTTTAAAATCATTGGAATCCTTAAAATGCTCAGCATTTTCAGATCCATTCGGAAGCTTAGATCTATTTTGGATGAAGTGCTCCATTTTTATTTTCTTTTGAGCAAGTACTAAAGATTATAAAATGCCGTTGTTTTTTGTTATTTGCCTCAAGAATTCATAAAAAACTTTCTTTGACCACCTGAAATTTATAATCCTTGTTCTTTTTGAGTCTTTTTATGATATTTAGGATCATATTTCGAATTTTCTTTATTTTTGTAAGGTCTTGGAATCTTCGGAACCTGTAGTCTTTAAAATCTTTAAATCATGGAACTGTTGTAATTTTGACAATCTTGAAACCTTTGCAAGTTTTGCATTTAAAGCTTTTAAGTCAATATTAAGTTAATATCTGTGGAAACCCTTAAAGGACATATTATACATTGTGAAAAACGCTTGAACTTAATACCATATTTTTAAGTTTTAAATTCTATTCAGACACTCTTGTTTATGTTTATCTTGTAATCTTGTTATACACGTGTCTTAGTATGAGTAATCAAACAAACCTTATTTTTACGTTATTTCAACAATTTCTGCAAGTAAAATCTCTTAGAAACAGTAAAAAGTCCTACAGTAACTAATTAGCAGAACTTACAATGATAGTTGGGTTGGCAACGATGTTATCCTATACCCATGTGCTGCCATCTGATTGTGAATTCCACTATAGTACCCATTTATACGCGTATGTATTGTTTTGTACAGTTTTTTCATGAAAAATACAACTGCGTGAGATCTCAGCATTCAAGTAACATATTATTAACTAACGTGCAGAGTGCGCGCAGTTTTTGAGAAACCCTTGCGCTTGCGCATCTTAGCTTTAATGTTGGATAAAGAATTTCTAGCGGCAGTAAATGATTTCAAACGCATGTGATTAATCTTTACAAATCAGAAGAATACAAATTGGCATTGTTTATAAATAGACGAATGAACAATACGGTTTAATGCCGCATCGCTTCTATGATTAAAAAACGTAACAAAAAACGCATTGAAATTGAAACGAATATTTCATGAAATTTTGAAAAACTGCCGCCGCAATTATATTAAGTGGATATTAGCCCCATTAACGCTAATTCGAATTCGCCTGTAAGTTCTTTCGATTATCTCGCATAAAGTATCCGATTAAATATTAACGAAGGTTCTATTAGTGAATTAAGATAAATTTAAAACGTATTACACCCAAATTTATGGTGAATAGAATCCTAGTTGAAAGTAATTATACCACAATTAAATTAATTATACGAACGTTATTACATTACGTATTATAGTAGAATGCTACTGTAATTTTAATTTGGCTTCCTATTTCCTACGAGTGTGTGATAAGGTCGAGTTGGTGATTTTAATTTATTCAATAA